TATATATATATATATATATATAAATTATTATTTAATGATATATATAAAAAACGATCGAGGATGATGAGGTGACTTTATATCAAATGTAATATCTATTCTTATTAGTTTAATATTGATTTATGACCATCGACCCATTTAACTTCAATATTTTCTAAAAAAGTTAATTGATCGCGCAACGCGCGATGCCGAACACTAGTTATAATATAAAGTAGAAAAAACTACGTAATTATTGAAACTAATAAATAATGGTATGAATCTGAAACAATATGCTGTTTTGGCAGATAAATAAGGTGACTTTATTCAAATACAAGATATGTCTTGAGTTCTATTCAACGTCTCTCAGCTAGCCGTACTGTTAAATGAGTCAAAAAAATATCTGCTCATATTAATGCCTTTGGAGACGGGAACGACAACGATTGTAGTCGATAATATATTTTGCCCAAATATTATTTAAGATTTTATAATGCTTATTAAAATATAAATGAATTTATATTTATCATTTTCTTTTTACTTTTTTGGTAGGTGACTTGGGAGGGAGGGAGGTTGGTGGAAAAGGATCACTTGATGTCTTTAAAGTACACTCATAATAATAATAATTATTATTATTTTAAATTAAATAGTGTATACTTAAGGTAAGAATGAAGACAAGAATCGAAAGTTTTATCTGGTAAGTGAAGACGAGGGCTCTTAACATGGTTAGCGTTTACCGAGATAAATTGTTGCATACGATGCGTTTTAGTGAATGAAATCTTACCCGATAAGTAAGCGATAGTGTTGAATTTTGTCGGTAAGTGTTTAGGTAAACGACCCCTAAGTTGTATACTTAAAAGTAAAAAAGCGAGACCCCCTAAAAAGGTAAAACAAAACAAAAATATCGCATTACAAAAATCAACAAGACTTAACGTGTCGTCAGTCATAAATCTTAAGCTACAACTTCTGTTGTCACGAGCCTTTTGAACAATAATTATATATCATTTTTAATCAAAATTTATTTATTTATTTGTTTTCTACCTACCCATGAGAATTTCATAATGCCATCGATGCTGGTACTGTGGACTGTGGTAGGTGTCAAAGGAAGATTTTGAAATAATTTATTTTTAAATAACTAAAAAAATTAAAAATAATAAAAATAATATAACTAAAAATAATATTTGCTAAAATCACCAACTTCATTTTTAATATTTTTTTTTTTTGTTAAGGCTGCTAATGGTGGTAGGTAATAAAAGATTAGTTTGAATTTGGTTTCAAATGTCAAAAATATCAGAAAGTCTCAATTTTAAATTTAAAGAGGAATAAAAATCTCCTTGTGGCCATGGAGGTTCAAATGCGATGACTCCGGACTATCTGCAAAACAGGTGGTCGTCTTGGAATTAGTCGGTTTACATAACGGATTGGATATCCAGTTTAATTAAAAAAAATGGTGGTAGGTGATGAAGAATCGGAGAAAGGTGAAAAAACCATGTTTTTGTAAAGTTTAGGTTGAATAATAAAAATAAATAAATCAAAAAATGTTTTTAAATCATGTAAAACAACCACGAAGAAAATATTTGATTAAAAGTATTAAGGTGGTGTTTGTTTTGTGAAAAAAGCTTTTATTTTACACTTATGTCTGATTCGGTCAGACATAAGACAATTTAGACTGTTTGTTTTTCTTTTTCTTTCAGAGCCACTTATCACTTATTTTTCACTTATTTTCCTCTTAAAAATTAAGTGATAACCTAGCCACTTATTTTCCTCTTAATCCTAAAAACTATCCAGAGAACCGATTTCTACTTCATCATTCGATCGACTTCACCCTCTCAATCTATCGACTTCACCCTCCTTACCGTCTCAATCGATCGACTTCACCCTCCATCGCCTCTGATGGCTTCAAATCGACCCAAATCAGATCCAAATCAAGAGGGTTTTCTTCTCTGTGGGTTTTTCGCCACTGTGTGTTTTCGTTCCTGTGCAAACCAGTAGTTGTACACCTTTATCTTCGTGAATCAAGGTATTTTCGTCCCTGTAGTTTTCATCATGATGGAGATTTGCTTCGATTTTAGAGGTGGATTTGGGCGTTGGATTTTAGAGAATGAGTGGTGGTTGATGGTGGTGGGATGAGGGTGGAGATTGAGGATGGAAGACTTGATGTGGAGGAGAAGGAAGAATTAAAGAAATCTTGGGAACATAAATAGAAGTGAAATCAGAAATTATACATATTCATATGTTTTTGTTGGTTACAAAAGCAAACTATTAATTCAGATTTCAGACTTCAGACGTTTGTCAGTTTACAAAAACATACAGTCTGACTGATTCAGATTTCAGACTTCAGCACCACCTCTTAAAAATCAGAAGTAAAATCAAACTTCAGACTTCAACACCTCTTAAAAACAAACGCCACCTAAGTGTTCTTTGAAAATTGGAACGAATGAAAATTCGTTTTTAATTTTTATTTTATTTTCTTCGTTTTCAAAAGTTAAAGTTTTTAGGAATTTTGATATATTTAAAAGAGAAAATTATGTATATAATTATTTTACAAAATATAACTTTTACTTTTTAACATTTTAGAGATCAAAAAAAACTTTACGTAAAAAAAGGATTTTCCATGTAAAGTTTATTTTCAAGTCAAAAAAGAAGAAAAATAAATTAAAAAAGGAATTTCCGTAAAAAAAAAATGGGGGCGTTGTGCAGAAAATAGATTTTCTGTGTAAAGTCCCTTTTTTTTTTTGCTTAACTCTCCATTTTTGCGTAAAGTTTCAAATTATATTTTTTTCCCCGGAAAATAAACTTAGGAGCCGTTTATCAAATACTTACCTGGTAAGTGCTTATCAATAAAATTTAACACTACTATTTACTTACTGGGTAAGATTTTAGTCCACCAAAACAGCATCACATGAAACAATTTACGCGGTAAGTACTTACTGTGGTAAGAGCTGTCACCCTTACTTACCATGTAAGACTCTTAGTCCATATCTCGCTCTTTTCAGGTAAGATTCTTGGTTGTTACCATATTCATCCGGTGAACTAATGTGACTTGGTATGCGCTTACCCGAGTAAGCATTTGGTAAATGGCCCCTTAATGTAGAAAATATTTTTCTACGTAAAGTTTTCTTTTTGTGAACTTTGGCTATTTCGGGAAAGAGCTTTAGAAAATGACTACAAAATGAAAGTCGTTTTATAAAATTGCTATTTGTGCAAATTTTCCTAAAACCAGTTATTGAAAAAATAAATTTAATAAAAATGTTAGAATATATTTAATAAAATTTATGATTTATAAACATCGTAAATAAACATAAAAATATAATCATTGTAAAAGATTGATTAAAAAATATATAAATAAACATAAAAAATATAAACATTGTAGAAGATTTATTAAAAAAATGTAAATAAAAATAGAACATATGTTAAAAAGTACTCATTTAATGATTTTTTAATTTATAAAGATTATTACCTTACTGAAAAAATTAAATAAAAAAGAAATAAACCTTTGTAATGTAATTTTTGATTTATAAGCATTGTTACAATAATAATAAATAAAATTAAAATTAAAACGTTACAAATAACTTAAAATTGTTTGATACATTTAATAAAAGTTTTGATTTATAAATATTATTATTTTAATAATAAATAAATAGACCCATTTAATAAAGGTAAATAATCACTGTTATAAAAAAAATTATAATTTTATAAATTCAATTAAAAAATATATGATTTATTGAATAAAAAGTTTGATTAAATAAAATAACCAATTTAATAAAACATAAAAGAAATAATAAATAAATTGAAAGGCTCTATTATTTAATGTAATACTTTAATTTTAAAATAATTTAAAAACTATATAAATATTCTAATAACTTTACCTGATTAGCAAGTTGCAAGTTAAGTGTTTAGGTAAGATACCCTCCCTATAGTAACAGTTCATGAATTATGGGAATTTTTCATAACGAGTGAAAGACTCGTATGTTGAAATGTTTAATGATTTATTTATTCAGAAAATTATCCTTAAATTTGATCATTCAAAATACAAAGGTCAATTATGATTTTCTTTTAGACTTTTCCCTTTTAATAAACTAGACTACGAGTGTTATCATTGAGAAACCGGGTTATAGAAGCAGAGATTATATCTGAAAGCAATATTGGAAGCTATACATTTATTTCAAAAATGTCTTTGACACCTACAGACAAAAGGATATCATTCAAATTTCGAAGAAGACAATTTCCAGTTATTGTATGTTTTGCCATGACCATATATAAAAACTAAGAACAATCATTATCGAAAGTTGGTTTATTTCTAAGACAACCAGTTTTCACCCATAGTCAGTTATATATTGCGTTGTCTAGAGTTAAAAGCAGACAAAATTTGAAAGTATTAATTATAAATGATGATGGTATTATTGGCTATAGAACAACGAATTTTGTATATAAAGAAGTATTTAGTAATATATGATAATTTGTAATGTTATTTTCGGTTTTTAAAATATTTATGACGGTTAAAAATGTATTTATAAGATGAAAATAATAAAAATGGTATATGCCCAAACAATCCAAATATCCAACTTGCAATTGAAGGGAAGGCATTCATTTCCTACCCTCACTCAACGCTCCAGATCTCTCCTCAATTCTCATCCAACGGTCTCCCTTTCCCCTGTTCATCTCAACCACCCCTCTCCAATCTTCTCTCTCTCAGATTTCATCCAAATCATAAACTGATAAAACCCCCATCCAACTGTATATTATTAGCAGCAAACCCACAATCTCTTCTCTCTCTCTCTCTCTCTCTAAAACAGCCATGGCAGCTTCTACTTCTCTAACTCTATCTCAAGCTGCCCTTTCTCGTTCCGCCGTCCCCCGCCATGGCTCTTCCACCACAGCCACCCAACAATCGACTTCCCTGACCACCCTCTCCATACCCACTTTCTCTGGCCTCAAATCCACCTCCACATCATCCTCGCGCGCTCCCACTCGCCGCCATGTCTCTGCCACTCGCCGCCGTGTCATTTCCAACGCTGCCGTGGAGACACTCGAGAAGACGGATACCGCACTGGTGGATAAGTCCGTGAACACTATCAGATTCTTGGCGATTGATTCTGTGGAGAAGGCTAATTCGGGTCATCCCGGTTTGCCCATGGGTTGTGCACCCATGGGTCATATATTGTACGATGAGGTGATGAGGTACAACCCAAAGAACCCGTATTGGTTCAACAGGGATCGCTTTGTTCTCTCCGCTGGACATGGATGTATGCTTCAGTATGCTCTGCTCCACCTTGCTGGCTATGACAGCGTCCAGGTAACCTCGATTCGATTCGATTCGATTCGATTCTCTCTGTGTTCCTGTAGCAATTTACAAGTAATTGCTCTTGTTTTTCTCAATTTCACTATCTGATTTAAGTAGAACAAATCTGCATTTATACATGAAACTTAAGCTTTTTCATGTTTGATCTGCTTCATCATTTCTGTCTTTTATATGTTCGATGAAATGCTCCAGTGGATGGAATCTGTTCTGGGATCTGGGTATTTGCAAAAATTGCATTGCTTCATAAAATAAGCTCTTTAGCTAATCTGTTTCATCCATTCTCATGTGAACGTTTGGGATCTGGGCATTGGTTAAATGTGGAAAAGATTCAATTTTGAGTGTGTTTGGTCTATGAGACTTACACAAGCTATTTAACCTGAAAAAAGAAGGGCGAATTTTCATGCATTCTGATCACAAACTAGTAACTTTACCAAAAGTGGAAGCTTGTTCTACTTTTCTAGCTCAATCTTGGGTTCATTTGTGCTTAATCACATGTGAATGTAGCTATTGACATTGAGCCTCGGATAGCCGGCTGGTTAAATTACATAACTTTGTAATCAAGACGAGTGGAGTCGATGATCTTGGCCTAACAAAGTTCTTGATTTTTCTCAATCTTTGCAACTTGATGATCGATCGATCTTTGAATTGATTCATCAATTCAAAATGGGGTTCCTTCTGATCATCTGATATTGTTTCACTGTCGTTCTAAAAGAACTTGTCGTATCCTTTATCAGGAAGAGGACTTGAAGCAGTTCCGTCAATGGGGAAGCAGAACTCCAGGCCACCCTGAGAACTTCGAAACTCCTGGTGTTGAAGTCACCACCGGTTAGTATTCCTATATGCATGCATATATATACCGAGGCCATATCTAATGACCATAAGTTAGCTTATTTTTTGATCTTGTTGAAAAACCCAGCTTTCCAGTAAGTACCATGGGCTTATTACCAATCATGTCTCTTGTATTGTTCTAATTTTATTTTTGTTCAAAGTGTCCTTTTTTGTCATTTTACATTGTCATCTAGCTTTTCAGCTATTTTTTTACCGAACATGGCTAGTTTACCGGCTAACAATTACTTTTTACCAAGCATAACTAGAAACTTATCAGCCAACAAGACCTATTTTGCCAAACATAGCCTAAAATCTTGAAGAATTCGTGTCGTTTCTGAATGATCTTTTGTTGTTACCAGGTCCTCTTGGTCAAGGTATTGCTAATGCTGTTGGTCTTGCCCTTGCTGAGAAGCATTTGGCTGCTCGATACAACAAGCCAGATGCCGAGATTGTTGACCACTACACGTAAGATTTCAAATTTCTTTTTTGGGTGTTTTACAAGTCCAACGATTTTGAGAAAATATTTGTGTTTCGCTTCAGATACTGTATTCTTGGGGATGGTTGTCAAATGGAAGGGATTGCAAACGAAGCATGTTCGCTTGCTGGCCATTGGGGACTCGGAAAGCTGATTGCTTTCTATGATGACAACCACATCTCGATTGATGGTGACACCGAGATCGCGTTCACTGAGAGTGTCGACACACGTTTCGAGGCGCTCGGGTGGCACATCATCTGGGTGAAGAACGGAAACACTGGTTATGATGAAATCCGTGCTGCCATTAAAGAAGCTAAATCTGTTACGGATAAACCCACTTTGATCAAGGTCCGTAACTTTATAATTAGGCGAAGCCCGAGAGAAATCAAATGTTTTTAGTACCTATCAAATGTTTTTACTACTCATTTGCGGTGGTGGTCTCTGCTATCTCTGGTTACGTCTCACCCCCATACCCTACTTTCAAGTGGGATTTAGTACCTTTCTGATGTTCCGCTAACTTGCAGGTGACAACAACAATCGGTTTTGGATCACCAAACAAGGCGAATTCATATAGTGTCCATGGAGCCGCTTTGGGTGCAAAAGAAGTAGATGCAACCCGACAAAACCTCGGATGGCCTTACGAGCCATTCCATGTACCCGAAGATGTCAAGAAGTAAGCCAGATATTCTAAAGATTCTAACTTGTTTTCTTAGGGTCTTCAATAAACCAGCTGCCCTACTCTTTGGGGTAGAAGTCAGGTCTGCGTATCCCACCCCCAGACCCCACCTGGTGGATATACTAGTTTGGTTTGGTTCGGTTAGATGACTTGTTTTCTTCGACCAATCTGATTCAGAATTGTGTTTTGATGATTTCTTGAATTCTTGATGTTGATTTCACGTTTTGCGGTGTGTAGGCACTGGAGCCGCCATACCCCCGAGGGTGCTGCTCTTGAAGCTGAATGGAATGTGAAATTTGCAGAGTATCAGAAGAAGTATGCTGAAGATGCTGCAGAATTGAAGTCTATTGCCGATGGTGTGTTCCCTGCCGGATGGGAGAAGGCTCTTCCGGTGAGTAATTTGTTTAGTGAAAACGTATCTGTAGTTTTGTTAGAGCTCGGCTTTTTCAGAAATGATGATTTTTTCGTTTATACAGACATACACACCGGAGATTCCCGGGGATGCCACAAGAAACCTCTCGCAAGCGTGTCTTAATGCATTGGCACCGGTTCTCCCCGGTCTCATTGGTGGAAGTGCCGATCTTGCTTCTTCGAACATGACCCTGATGAAGATGTTCGGTGATTTCCAGAAGAACACTCCGGAAGAACGCAATGTGCGGTTTGGTGTTCGGGAACATGGTATGGGAGCAATTTGTAACGGTATCGCCCTCCACAGCCCCGGATTCGTCCCATACTGTGCTACATTCTTTGTTTTCACCGATTACATGAGAGGTGCGATGAGAATCTCGGCTTTATCAGAAGCCGGAGTCATCTACGTGATGACCCACGACTCCATTGGTTTGGGAGAGGACGGTCCCACCCATCAACCCATTGAGCACTTAGCCAGTTTCCGAGCCATGCCTAACATCTTGATGTTCCGCCCGGCCGACGGAAACGAAACCGCCGGAGCATACAAAGTTGCAGTCGAAAGCCGGAAAAGACCGTCAATCCTCGCTCTTTCTCGCCAAAAGCTGCCCAACCTGCCTGGAACTTCGATCGAAGGAGTCGCGAAAGGTGGGTACACGATAACCGACAATTCATCTGGAAACAAGCCCGACGTCATCTTGATCGGGACCGGTTCCGAGCTGGAAATTGCGGCGAAAGCTGCCGATGAACTCAGAAAGGAAGGGAAATCCGTTCGGGTTGTGTCCTTTGTATCATGGGAACTTTTCGAAGAACAATCCGATGACTACAAAGAGAGTGTTCTTCCATCGGCCGTAACTGCTCGTGTCAGCATTGAAGCAGCATCAACCTTCGGGTGGGGGAAAATCGTCGGAAGCAAAGGGAAGGCCATCGGGATCGATAAATTCGGAGCCAGTGCACCAGCCGGAAAGATCTACAAGGAGTACGGGATAACCGCCGAAGCCGTGATCGCAGCCGCGAAAGAAGTTTGTTAGACGGGTTCAAACTCGAACAGCAAATTCTGGGCTTTGGAAACTTATGAGAAATGGTTGCTATTAGTTTCCGCTATCGTGATTCATAATGCTCGGATAACCAATAAAAGATCGAACCATTTTAGTCTTTGATGCATTTCATCGAACACCTTACCTGCAAAAGATGAGAGAGAAGATTAGAATGCTCATGAATTTGTACCAAAAATTAAAACATATTTCTCAAGTTTTGTGATTTTTATATGTTTGATTATATATATTATTGAGGTGTTCTTTCGAGTAATGTACAATTTTACAACTTATCATAACATCATCGCTTTACATTTTTTGAGCATATTAAATATAAGATACAAGTTCTCTGTAAAAAAGGTATGACGTGATCGGTCGTGATGGCAATTGGAATGATATTAACTCTTATTTATTTTTTTTTCCTGGCATAGCTGGGCCATCCTGGACTTGAACCAGAGACCTCGCCCGTGAAGTAATTCATTGCACCCACAATCATAACGTTAGATAGTTAGATTTTCAAATTCAGTTTTTGAAAAGATCATTCAGTTAACCAAAGGGTCTTTGACATAACGGTATGTGAGTCTATGGTCTCCTATGAGGTCAAGAGTTCAAACCTGATCAAAGGTGAAAATGGTATATAAGTTTATTTGTTTTATTTATCGTATATAAATATATATATACTAAAAAGAATATCATTCATTCAAACAATCCACAAAATGTGGTTTCTTTGTTTAGATTTGAATGGATTGGGTGGGTGATGAATTTGAGCCATTGAAGATGGATAAGGTTGAAGTGGGTTTTAGTGTCACATATGCGAAGTGGGTCACAAAATATCATAAGTTTGGACAAACTCCTTAACTTATTCGTGAGAGGTGGATCTTATCAATTTTTAAAATAAAAATATTGGGTTTAAAAAATACATTATAGATGATCATGATGTAAACATTACAAAAACAACCAATTATTGTTTCAAAATAAGGTAAGCGTTTATATCACCTAAAGTGACCTGAAACTTCCATCATTTTTACATCATATTAAAGATGTTACATGTTTTTATTTTATGAATAAATGTAACGCGTATTTTATATATTTCAGATAATGACTTTAAATTATTTAAATGATAGAATTTTAAATTATATTTTTATTTTGTATGAAACGATGAAAATATATTATTTAAAATAAAAAAAATTCAAATATGTTGCTATTTTAGATTAAAAATACATCGTTTTATATGAAAAATTAATCGGATGTAATAAGGATGGGAATGGAGTAGGGATGGGTAAGTATGTGGTTGTTGAAGCTTTGGCTGTTTTTTGAGCTTTCTTCTCCATCATGTACTTACATGTTTAGGGGTGTTTGGAATTGCTTATAAAAACAATTTATTGACTTATTTCGCTGTGATATCGGTGATAAACACTTTTGAGTGTTTGGATAAACAACTTATACGGGTGCCAAACCGGTAATAAGGAGTTTTTGAAGAAGTTAAAACATTTTAATTTATAATAAGTTGATAAGCACTTTTGTAAAAAAGTACAAGTTGTTTCAGATAAGCAATCCCAAACACCCCCTTAGTCATAAAGATATTCAGTTTTTGTTATGAAAAATTAGAACTAATCTTGGGTTCCTGTCGGAGATGACAATGTTATGCAGTAATATACTGAGATGTCAAATGAGATTTATTAGAGCTGTCTAGTAGATAGGTTCACTGATCACTTGTGTATATATGAACCTGATAAATATTTAGGTATCTTAATACCCCTCTTTTAGAGAAAGAGGGGCTACCATCGACCGACTTGTGGAGGGAGACTGCGTCGACCGATATGGAGACTAAAAGAAAGAAACTGTATGTGAAAGTTTCCCTTCATACGGCTCGAATCATTCTCAGATGGCCCGAGAGACATCCTTTTCTTGTTCGTTTTGATACTTGGTTTTTTTTTAAAGTTTATTTTTCTTATCCAAACACTAGCATTTAGCTTATCACCGGTGTCAGACTGAAATAAGTCAAAAGACACTTAAAATAGCAATCCCAAACACCCCCTATGAATGATACAAATTGAAGATTACTGAATTCTTTCATGTTTTTATTGTTAAATAGTCTTTTTTGAAAATGATTCAATTATAAAATAGGTCTTCAAAATTTCAAATATTCTGATGTTCATTTAATTGATTAATCTATACTATATTATAAAGCATTTGACAAAAACTCTTAAAAACCATTTTTTATGCATGAAGTACTGTATATTGATGCATATTACTTAAAATTTAAGAATACAAGTAAATTATGCATAAGTATAATTTATTAAAGGTTCATGTTTGAATTCGTGTAATTAACTACGGATAAACATAATCAAATTAGATAATAAATCATCTCATTTTAAAATATAAAAAATCTAAAATATAATTAAGATAATTATCGAGTTCTAACAAAATAATTAATTATTATTCTTATAAGAAAATTATATTATTAAACCAAATATAAATTACTTCGTTATTGAACCTAAATT